GTTGTCTGTTGTCACAGCCATGATAGCTTTGAAAACTGGTATAAACAGGTTTTGCAAGATTCTTCTAGTCCAACATGGCGACGCTTTCCTAATGGCGCAGAGCCTTCTGGTATATGATGAAGAGCATTGCCTGACTCAGTATAGAAGATCGAAAAACTCGTCTAATGTACCTACATTTGCGCTGTTYCACTGATTGCTGATATAGACAAATCAGAATGTTCCTCCAGAGAAAAATTACCACATTCAAAGCAAAGTGACTTCTTACAATTTCCAGGGCTACAGCSTAACGCATTGACTTTCCTTGSGTGACCTGTGTGACGCGCATCCACTCTGCGCTCTTTCAGTCTGATTCTGTTAGAGTTTTTCATGTTCGTACATTCCTTGCATTGCGTGACTCTGCATCGATCAGATTGTGTGACAGATTCTGCATGGTCTTTTCTTGTTGATTCAAGAACCCTGTGGTGATTACGTGAGCTGTGTTCTGCGTGACTGCAACCGCTGTTTCTATTGGGTTGTAGCTCGTTGTCACAAATGAATTCGTTAYGTGTAAGATATGTCTCATTTCCTTGCTTGGATAARTGTTTGTCTTGAAACGGAGAATTTCTGGTGYTACAGTTGGATTTATGTCCAAACGCTTTTTCTTTGGCACTATAGCCTCTTCTTTGTCTCGTCCAATCACTGACTGGTGATTTCACAGAATCATTAGTGTTCCTTCCTGGATTATTTTTCCAGTCTTTACAACCTCTTTCCTTCGAYTCCTTAATTTGACACTTATCCTTTCTATATTTCCTGGAATCTCTAACTGGCATTGTCCTACATGGTTCGACCGATTTAGGGCTGGACATTCTATGGTCAGTGTTCCCCCTGCTGCTTACACCAGGTTGTTTATGTTCTTTAGCCCTTGTGATTTTCCGATGTAAACGTTCAAAATCACCTAAATGCTGCACTTTTGCTGATGGTTTGATTTCCTCCGCTTCATCGCATTCTTTCGGGAAGATAAGCTTGCCTTGAGGACTTCTCACCTTTTTCTGCTCATTTCTTTCGTTTCTATCTTTCGTTCCTTTTCCACTTTCTCTCCTTTTCCCTTGAAATTGYATCTTTTCATATTTGCTATGGTCACTTGTTTCCCCATCATCATCATCATCGTCGTCGTGGTTTTTGCACATACAGTGTTGATGAACTTTCGATTTTGATCTTCCATTGTCTTTTGGATGTTCTGTGTTTGTGCTGTACTTTTCTGTTGCATAATCACATATAATTCTGTCATTCCTGAAATACATCAATATTTAATGTTACAATCTTCTTGGGATTATTTTTCTCATCTCATGTATAAAATGTATAATCATCTAGAAATGGATTATTTTTTTTGCATGAGTTCATTAATATACTTATATTACATTCAACAAAATAATACATTCTGATTGGTCGGGAGGAGTACAATTACAGCGTTAATTGTACTCCTTAATTAAGTTGAATGTACTATAAACAAAAAATCGCACAACCTCTCGTACAATTTGGAATTGATAGTAACTCGTATTGTTTTGAAAGTTCTCAAATTGCACTCGCGCTATCGGGCTCGTGCAATTACGAGAACTTTCAAAACATTACTCGTGACTATTAATTCCAAATTGTACTCAAGGTCGTGCGATTTCCTATACAAATTACAATCAAAACTAATTTATTCCATGCACAACGAAAAAAAGTTAAATCAGATTTCTTTACCTTCTGTCTGCAGAACGTCTTTCCTCATTCAGGTGCATAGGATGTTGCTTTGAGTCAAGCTTCACGCTGCTTCTCTTTGATGTWCCTTTAGAAGCGCACTTACTCCTCACAGGACTATAGTACAATTCCTTGTCGCTGTAAACACAGTCAGATACTTTATGCCGTTTGTTAGGCAAACACTTGTCAGTTTCCAGGCAGTTTCTCTTAAGRCCAGGAGAAACCCTGGCAGATCTGGAATTTTCCTTGCTGTTGCTTCTGCTAGGTGTGAAGCCATCTTTTTCCCAGGTAGTTTCATGTGATCTGTGGCATGCCCTTTTTGGTGACACTGACTCTATATCACTGATGGAGCTTCTTTTCCTGGACAGTCTGGTACTGCCATTACCAGGTAGACAATCGTTAAGAAGTCTGTAGTCACTGCCATTATTGGTTTCTGGACCAGGAAGACACCCTGATATCAGTGGAATTGACCGTCGGTTGTTAGTAGGTAATGGAAACTGTGGTAACTGGAAAAACTTGTTTGCCAATGAGGGTTTTGTGACAAGACGTCCATCAGGGCTCCTTGGTAGCAATGTTGACTCGAAACATTGAGTTTTYATACCTATAACCCAAAAACAAGAGTTTGATCAATGCATAACCACTTACTAGACAGAATTAATAAAGGAGCATTCAGACATGTTGTGTACCATAGTGAATTTGAGCATACATTGCATATTGGTACAATAAGCATGTGACTGTAGCACAGCAATTATTGCCTACCTGAAGCATCACTAACAGACATTTCCATTTTACCCATTGCTGGCAATCCTGGAGAAAGTTTCAAAATAGCTTTAGTAGAAACTACTTGAYGGAGCCTTTTAGAGTCAAGTGACTGGAGTGTTTCAGCATTATGTGGAACTATCTGCTGCAACTTTGATTCATGACAAGACAGGCTAATACTTTTTCTCCTTGATGAGGTGTTTAAAAGAACAGAATCACTTCTTGTAAGCTCACTAGATGAGTCTGTTTGTGAAAGTCTCAACGTCTGAGCTCTTGGKGAACCTGAAATCATTCTGGGACAGTTACTCTGTGAAGGTATCYCTACGTTGACTGTGYKTGGTGTCCTTGTGAGTTTCAAGGAAGGCTTGACTGATATTRTTTTCCTGCTAGCTAGTAGAGACACTGTTTTCTTCCTTCCATGCCCAAATAAACCTGGCCTTATGGTCACGCTTGGTTTATTTGACCTGCACCTGGTAACAATAGCATTACTTCKGGTAGAAAATGAATCATTTCCATGGGACATGATTTCTGCTGTTAGACGAGAGTTAAACTCTTTCAGTAACTTATCAGGAAGGAACAAAGACTCTTTTGTCATTCTTTGCAGAGCACATGATGAATCTGAGGACATTGAGTCATAGCCAGATGACTTACTGGRGTTTTCACTTTGACAKCTTAACACAGCTTCAAATAAAACATTGGCAATTCTRTTTCTTGTATTGAGGATAGCTTTAGCAAGGGAGGTTGAGACAACAGAAGATTCCTGAGTTTTTAGGGTATTATTCTTGTTGCTGGCAACACTGATTACTCCAGAATTCTTCTTTGCATCATGTTCAGCTTTATCYTTCTTTTTATTGCTTGATATGGTAACTTTAGCRTTCTCCACATTCTTGCTGGYAAACTCATTACATTTTGTAATAACTGGCATTTTGAATGCCGTATCATCAGATAGACTTCCACTACTCCTTAAGCGTCCTTTTAACCCAATATTACTTGAAATGTCTGARCGAAGGTGTGCCACAGGGCTTATATTTGGGTCTACTTTATCATTCAAAATAGAGTCAACRTCACCCAATACAGTGGATGAAAGTGGATAATCTGGTTGMTTTGGATCCYGTTTTTCTGGTTTTAAGCAAATTGCACTGTTCAGATGACTAATTTTATCTATTGATGGAATGTCTAGTGAATTCATGTCATTTAGTTCATCTTGTGATGGGCAATCTGTTGGTCCACTTGTGTCTGACTCCCAGCCATCATCTGGAGCATCATCATCACCATTGGTTTCCTCATCATCTGAAGAGAGTAATCAATACCTGTTTGATTGGTGGATTGATTTAATTGGTAGATTAGTTTAGTGATTGATAAGTTTAATTAGTTGTTTGATTGATGGATAAAATTGATTGGTTGATTGACAGATGGATTAGTAAATTGATTGGTGGATTGATTTAATTGGTAGATTAGTTTATTGATTGATAAGTGAATTAGTTGTTTGATTGATGGATGAATTGATTGGTTGATTGATTGATTGGTGAATTGATTGGTAAATTGATTGGTTGGTGAGCTGATTGATTGAATAATTGATTGATTGACTGATTGATTGGCAGATTTATTGATTGATTGGTGAATTGCTTGACTGATGGATGCAGCTTTTGAACTTACCATTGACAAGACTTTCAAACCAATCAACATTCTTACCATCTAAAAATTCATAAAAAAATATTAATCACAAATAATATTTAACATATTATAGCTCATGCAGTACTTTCAAGTTTTTAGGTTTAATAAGCAATCATACCATTACCATCATATTCCTCTAGATTGCTGAGAAGAATTTCTTGTGATTCTATAGTCCCATCTTCAAATGTCTTGTCGTACTTCATGGAAACAGATCATAAATGAGAGAGAGAGAAAAAAAGAAATGAAACTTAATATCAATAAAAGACAAGCAAGTTCAGAGAAATCTTTGAACCGAACATTTCAAATCTTCATTTCCTTTGCAGAATTAAAGTGAACCTAACCCCTGAAAAATGACATTTTTTTCTAAAATTAGGGAGGTTTCTGAGAGCTTTGGCGAAAAAATGTCTCCATTTCATTCAATTTGTGATTTTTGGCAAATGTTTGAAGTTGGATTTCGGATGGACAGCCTCAAAAGAAGTAAGGAAACTAATGTGAYGTCAAACCAGACAATAAGACAATACCTTCTCTGATATTTGGTGTGTTGTTACAACTGTAAACAACACACCGATTCAGCATTTTTAACTCAAACATCTACATTTGTATAAAAACTCTACTACCAACAGTGTTTTCATGATGTTTTCACAGTATTTGATACTGGGTTGACGTCACAAGTTACGTGTTACTGTAACACGTAACTTGTGACATCAACCCAGTATCAAATACTGTGAAACATCATGAAAACACTGTTGGTAGTAGAGTTTTTATACAAATGTAGATGTTTGAGTTACAAATGCTGAATCGGTGTGTTGTTTACAGTTGTAACAACACACCACAGGGAGCTCGAAGTACCTTTAGTCTACTTTTCTTGCATGTAAAAAATCKGGATTTCAATAAAATCTTGTCATTTTTTCACCAAAGTTCTAAGAAACCTCCYTAATTTTAGAAAAAAAGTCATTTTTCAGGGTTTAGGTGCACTTTAAATCAAAACTTTCGTGAATGAAAAAGGCGCGAAATTCAAGAGAAATGTCCAAAGTTTTGTTTTCATTTTGTAAGCCAATATTAAAGCACAATTTTCCTTAAAAATTTGAGTCATTTAAAGAAATAGAAACTTCAATAGCTTCTTGCTGCTATAAGAGCCTTACCTTTTGGTAGATTAGCTCCAAGTCGGCTTGATAGCGATTTGCAAACGAAAGATACACCGATGGACCCTCYTCTTCGTCCGCCATGACAGTTTATTGGTACCCAGTCTACTAACCCTTCTGACACAGGAAACCCGCCAAAAAGTGCGCGCTATTATTTGATGGACTGGAGGAAAATTCCAAAATATGCATTTATCTCCTGGTTATCTCATAATGTTTTTTTCAATATCAGTCAAAACGTTAAGAGTCTGTTTATTCAGTGGCGTGTTTTATCAGTTTTCTGAACTGCCCATCGCTCCTTGAGTAACATTCGGACGAAGAATTTTCATTATTTCCTCATTTCACATAGTGTATCAGTTTCATAAGTTTAATTTCATTAAAGACACCACTTTGCATAGAATAAATATATGATATTCAATCTCAGTGATTGGCCTTCGCCCTCGCCCTGGGCCAAACCTTACGAAACTGTCCATTAGGAATATCATTAATCAGTTGTATAAACATTATCCTCGAGATAAAATAATTGTCTTGTCAAAACCAGTCTAATGACAGTGTCCTTTAATGCTATATTAATTAATTTAATCATCGGGAATCTTCAGATTATGACGTCAGAKAGCACAAATCAGTGATAAGCAAGTCGGGACTGGCACCTTAGTTCTAATAATAGAACGGTAATAGCTGAAAAAGACAGGCTTTCTGCTTTGAAGAGGTATAATCTTTAAATGCAGCATTCATATGCARTGGGGTAGTTGTTCACGAAATCATCAGATCAGTGCGATTTTAAGTCCGGCAAATTTGGACAATGAGTGTGGCTGCCGTCTTCTCCCCGCACCCACGGCCCACTGTATGCAAAATCTCGCCATCTTTCAACACTTCGCTAGGATATATAGGGCGAGAGGTTCGATCGTTCGTTCCTTTGTTATATACAACGAGTATCTGGTACGTATGCAAGCTGTTCATGTGACAGAAACAGAAAACATGAATCACCAGAAAACATGTCATGTTCCTTATTGTACTCTCTCTTTAGGAGGTAMACTGCTTCCTTTTATAATAAAAAACTGGTAACTCAAACTTTAAACTGAAAACGTTTCAGGTCTGGCGATGTATTTGCGGCTCTATGTTAAAACAACCTCAGGGGATGTCTAAAGACTTTCCTCTGTCTGAAATCATGAATAGTAAGTACTTGACAACGTGTCACACTTTGCGCATCAAGTAGGTTCTTTCTAAACAGTCTTTTAAAATCCTAGTGTGCGTGAGGTCAACAAGATGCGATTAAAACTTGTTTCCGTGATGATAGTATCATAGCTATCGCAAGCTAAACTCTAGGAGGTCAAGCACAAGATGTTTTTTCTCTCATCTGATATATATTTATAAACGAAACAGCTTTACAACGTCATTAAAACAATCGCTTTTTTACATTAGTGTTATTAATACAATCCCACACGAAATTAGCGATTTTTTTAATACCTGAATGCATGTTTTATTCAAGATTTAAACCACATAATTATCAGTGAGGACTGATTGTCTACGAATGACCAAACTCTTTACGGTAGTTTTGACTTTTGGATATTTGACATATTTGCTGTGCAACTGATATACCGCAGTGACCGATGATCATCATTTTGTACTAAAAGCTTGTAAAAAACAGTGTCTCGTATCTTTACCGGCGCGTTTGGACTCAACGACTGCCAATTGGACTGCCATGTCASAAGGATTGRAAAGATACAGAGAATTGAACAAGATGGACGATCGCGGGAATATTCCATGGTTATTATCAGTCTCATTACCGATGCTCGGTGTTTTGGTTGGATGGGGACTTTTTGTATACGGTAGTTTTATTCCTTCTGTAACAATATTAATGTCTTCTATTGTCGTATTTGGTAGCTCGCTTCTGCTGTTTGTTGCAATGGGGAATTTTGTAGAAACAAGAAGCTTTATCGTCAAACAAGCTAAACATAGTCAAGCACGTTTATTCGAKAGATTGATGAGCGAGGACACGTACAGAGACAAAGAAGCCGGATCTGGCAAATCAGTAGGAAGAAATTATTCCCTAAGCTGACCAAAGATGGGAGAAGGACATTCACTGTTTCAAGTGGTAAAGAGAAGATGAAGGAACGCATTGAAGACACATAGGAAATTCACATTGACAGCAATGTGGCACATCAAAACTGGTCATATTTTTGCTGAATAAAATTTCATTTACTTTCAATAAAAGTAAAATCAGCGAGAAAAAGATAACTTGGAATAAGTTAAATAACACGCTGTTCAAAACATATCATTGGGAGTGCTCCAACTGCTTGTAGAAAAAAAACAGATGCGATTGCTCCAATTGACTAAAAAAACGAKAAAATTTGTATCGTTTTAAAGGACTTTTAAATGGAAGCACCTAAGGTGATTTTGCGTCACGCAGTTCAAAATCCACAACTGGAAGCGCTCCAACTGTTTATAGAAAATTTTAATTTCCTTAAAAGAAAACCAAATGCGCGCGTATACACGATTGTTTCAAAAATTTAACAAAAAGACTAGAACTTTTGTATCGCCTAAAATTTTGCGTCTTCTCCGTCTCTAAAGACGAAACAAATTCTCGTGTAATAAATAATAAAAAACTAACACATCCTGGACATAGCAATGACTTGCCTAACGTGAATATTTTACTTATAAAGTCTGGGATAAGCGGTGTATATTTCTACAGAAATTGTATTTCAAATTTACTAAAAACGCAACTTCATCGATGCGTTCATCACTGTTGTTTAAAAAAAGGAGTTTWMAAAAWAAATTAGTATRAATTACAGAAACATTTRCTGCAKTGCAKGTACATGTAAAACAACGAAATACTAAACTTAATTTTCTTGTACAATTGATATAAAAACAATGCCTTTAGTGATAAGAGAGAAAAATGTTAACACGTCGTACAAAACAATTTGCAGTATCGATAGTGCACGCATCATAGTCACAAAAGACGCCGATTGAAATAAAAAATAAAACGTACGCGTCCAAATGCTAATGAGACCAAGATAACATTATATGACATAGTGCATAATTTCAGTCTTTGAAAGAAAGAATTTTACCACAATCAGTTGCAGGAAAGATTTCGAAAATCTCTGAGAGTTGATATTATTGATTTTGCCACAGGCTAGAAAAGATACCTGCATTAACAATAAAAAAAGTAAAAAAAAACCTTATGACGCATCCTGAATATACCCCTGCTTTTTACACACATGTAAGACGAAAACCACTATGTTATAAACAACTTTTGGCACAAGTTCGCACATGTTTTTTATCAACGTACGTTAGTTGTGCCTACCTTTAAGTAAATATATGCAACATTCAAGTCCAAGTGATTTATTAAGAAATTGTCAYAATGAAATCTACAGTTACAGTATGAATTCAAACATGCAATCTATGTAAAATTCAAAATTATGGAATCTAATTGACATTGATTTATTTCTACATGGAAATTAATGTTTGTCTGTGATTTTTTCTAAAATATTTTGAGATATAAAAATTCATAACAATGTATATTTATGTTATATATAAAAATGCATTGTTATGTTCATATTATTGTGATCATCAGTGTCCTCAAAAATACCACTGATTTTGACGACGACTGCGTTACTAATAAAAATCATTATCATATTTTTTTATTTATCATAATTCATCATTAGACATTACCAGCAGCTTTGTATGCAGAAACGCTTGGTGTAATGTTGAATTATGACAAATCTAAAACAATATTACTTACTTGTATTACATAGTGATATTTTTGGTTTATCAAAAACTTATTTTAATTGAAATGTACTAAGCTAACCATGTTTATGATATCTTTTCAAAAATATGTTGTTGTTTTTTTGAAACAGCCCAATTATTMTTTTATTGTTGGAGAATGAATAACCAAGACATGTCATATAGAGTCTCGGTATACTATTACAATATTATTATGGTCATGATGGTCATCATAATAATTCATCAATCTATAATGACTGAAAACACTCACATCTTCACATTACACATGAAAATGCACAACATTGTGCTATCAAATACTTTTCAAAAATGCCTAGGTCACGACTGYGTAACTCTTTAAAGTTTTGACATTTGTTTGTTCAGAGGAACCCTGTCCACTTYCATYCTRTTTTTRTGATCAATKACCTCCCAGTACAAGTCTCTCTTCAGGTTTGTCATATGCTKTCTGTCCCAATTTGCAATGCCAACGACTGACTTACCATGAGCAATGGCTGAATTTAACAATATACTGTTATCACAAATTTGGTCAACTAGTTTAGCTTCAARGGCTTCCTCTGCAGTGTACTTTTTTCCCATAATAATGGCATCAGTTCTCAMTCTAGGGTCTAAAATCTTTGCTCTGTAAATTACGKAAACAGATTGCATTATATTACTATTTCATAAATTACATTAATAATGATGTACCCTTTCAAATAAGACACTACTCTCGCAGTGTCTATAATCTTCTTGGAAAGGATATAAAGTCATAGGTTCTGTCTCTCTCTTCACAAATGCTCCTTAGCAGCAGATGCCGAGAGGCAATTATAAATCTGTATCACAATGCAACTAAGAGTAGGACTAGAGGAACTCTTCCAAGAAATATGTTTAAGTTAGTACAAGATCACTATCTCAAAGTMATGTTACTGTACTTACTTAACTATGGAGATCATTTGTGGCGTGAACCTTAGCCGTAAATTGATTTCAGGCAAACAGAACCAGCCTCTCTTTGTCCTCATAATTCGATAATCATGACACAATGCAAATATCCCTCCACCAGCATATGCATGGCCTGCAAAAGTATYTTATAAAGCATGAATAACCTGGCTGTAGAACGCATATGGTCCAATATATGGATGGTTGGCATTGATCAACAATATGTATATGACAACATCATCATAAACTCAATACAAGCCTACGGCGTTTGATGCTTGTGCAAAAACACTAATAGAAATGGGAAACCAAAACAAAATGACCTGTTATTGATTGGTCCCTCTTATGGGTGAAATTTCAGCACTCACACACCCATCATCTCACAATACAGGTCCCTTTTAGGTGTCATTATTAGATTTTCCGATGAGGACCCCTTCCTTTTTTCATAAGGGAGTCCCCCTGGGGGTTCATGGAGCTTATGAATATTGTCTAAAGAGATTGTAACCAACTCTAGTAGAGTTATAATTGTATTGTATGGAAGTTCAATATCAATTGTATTGTATGGAAGTTCAAYATCAATTGTATTGTAATAGAAGTTCAATATCTTCGGCAGTAATAATTGATTTGAGAATATAACAAGCTTACCATTCAGAGCAGCAATTGTAGGAACCGGGAAAGTCAGTAATCGATAGAAAAGTGAGCTATTTTGAGCCAAAAATGTGTCCATATCAGCTTTGTCATACTGTGCAATTGTATCTAAGTCAAGACCATTGGAGAAGAACTTTCCTTCACCAATTGTCACAAGAAACGTGACATCCTTGTTGCTTAAATGAAAAATAGTCTTAGCAAATTCAAATGTCCTAATAAGAGTGAGGTGGGAAGCATTCTCGTTCCTAAAAACCCTAAATGGTTCCTATAAACACTGATGAGATCAGCAGAGGTTTTTTCACAATAGATATCAACTTGTTTTAATGTCATACCTCTCTACTTTGTCGAGTGCAGCATGCAAATCTTTCATGGTAGAATTATTAAATCGATTTTCCACATTGATCATCCAAAGAATTGCAAAGTTTTCTCGAAACTCAACATTATACCTTTTGTTGGCCGCCATCTTGATTTCTAGCTAGCTAGTGCCCAGTTTTTTTCGGAATTTGACGGAAGGCGCTTTAAATTATGCGGGAAATTTTGGGGCTTTATGAATCAAAGTTTTGTGTCGAGACGAAAGCTGAGTGTGATAAAACCACTGAAATCATCATTGCTTTGCATTGGGTTATTGGTATTATTCTAACTATTGAAATTATATTCATTTTGAGCTCGTTGTACCTGCTTTGTTTTACTGTTATGGAGGGGTGAATAGGTTTTTGGATCGGCGG